ACCAAAAAAAAAAAAAAGACAATAAATGTTCTGAGAAAGAAATCAGAGAAACATCACCCTTTACAACAGTCACAGACAACATAAAATATCTTGGGGTAATACTAACCAGAAATTAAAGAAGATACCAGAAAATGGAAAGATCTCCCATGCTCTTGGATAGGTAGGATCAACATATTAAAAATGGCAATCTTATCAAATGCAATCTACAGATTCAATGCAATCCCTATCAAAATCCCAGAACAATTCTTCACAGACTTTGAAAGGACAATAATCAGCTTTATATGGAAAAAAACGAAAGACCTGTACAATAAAGGAACTTTCGGAGGCATCACCATCCCTGATTTCAAGCTCTATTATAGAGCTATAGTAATGAAAACAGCTTGGTATTGGCACTAAAATAGACAGTAGACCAATGAAATAGAATTGAAGATCCTGATATTAACACACACCTATGAACACCTGATCTTTGACAAAGAAGGTAAAACTACACAATGGAAAAAAAGAAAGCATCTTCAGCAGATGGTGCTGGCATACCTGGATGCAGATAGATCCATCCATATCTATCCCCATGCACAAAACTTAAGTCCAAATGGATCAAAGGCCTCAACATAAATCCAGTCATACTGAACCTCTTACAAGAGAAAGTGGGAAGTACCCTTAAATGAATTGGTACAGGAGACAGCTTCCTGAACATAACACCAGTAGCACAGACACTGCGATGGACAATTAATAAATGGGACCTCCTGAAACTGAGAAGCTTCTGTAAGGCAAAGGACACAACCAGCAAGACAAAAAGGCAGCCCACAGATTGGGAAAAGATATTCACCAACCCTCCATCTGACAGAGGGCTGATCTCCAAAATTTACAAAGAACTCAAGAAGCTAGTCACCAAAACACCAAATAATCCAATTAAAAACTGGAGTACAGAACTAAATAGAGAATTCTAAATAGAGGAATCTAAAATGGCTAAAAGACACATAAGAAAGTGTTCAACATCTTTAGCCATTGAGCAAATGCAAATCAACACAACTCTGAGATACCATCTTACTCCTGTCAGAACGACTAAAATTAAAAACACTAATGACAGTTTATGCTGGAGACGATATGGAGAAAGGGGAACACTCCTCCACTGCTGGTGGGAGTGCCAACTTATACAGCCACTTTGGAAATCAGTATGGAGATTCCTCAGAAAAATGGGAATTAGTATATCACAAGACCCAGCAATTCCACTCTTAGGCTTATACCCAAAAGATGCACATTCATTCAACAAGGACATTTTTTCAACTGTTTTCATAGCAGCATTATTTGTACTAGCTAGATCCTGGAAGCAACCTAGATGCCCCTCAACTGAAGAGTGGATAGAGAAAATTAGGTGCATTTACTAAATGGAGTACTACTCAGTGGAAAAAATAATGGAATCTTGAAATTTGCAGGCAAATGGATGGGACTAGAAGAAACCATCCTGAGTGAGGTAACCCAGTCACAAAAAGACAAGTATGGTATGTACTCACTCATATATGGATTTTAGACATGAGGCAGGGGAATGTCAGTCTACAACCCCACCACTTAGGGAGGACCCTAAGAGAGATATGCATGGTACCCCAGAGAAGAGGAATGGGACAGGATCTCCTGAGCAAATTGGGAGCATGGGGAGAGGGGAGAGGGGGCTGGGAGAAAGAGGGGAGAAGAGGAGGGCATGAGGGAGCAGATGCCGAGAAGAGCATGCAAGAGGGAAATGGACAGAAAGGCGATGGATGAGCCATCCTAGTTTGAGTTTCTGATGTGGAGCATCCTGAGGAATTTTCTGGAATGTGTGTGGTTTGTTGATAGCAGAAGTGAAGATTTACACTGGGAGAGAAAGAATCAATCACATGAGACTTTTTGTCCAAGCAGGCATCTGGGTCAGGTGTCCTAGGTACCTTCAGTGTGATTATTAATGTGATTCACACTTTCAAAAATCCCCATGTTTGAATGACTAATCTCATGGCCTTTTTCTCATGAGGTGTCCCCTTAGGCAGGTCTGGTTTCATGGACATTTGACTTGCTCATTAAAACAGTGTTGGGCTCTGATAAAGGGTCTCCATGTCCTGCAGGGCCATGTGTGGACTGCTTGGTTCCATCTGGTGGTGCCATTCTAGAAGGCTCTGGAAGCATTAAGAGGTGGGGTCTAGCTGGAGTAAATAGATTACTGGGAATGGGTTCTTATGGGGGTGTCTTGCTTGTGCTACCTATTGAGTACAATTATAGTCTATGTGTACACGTGCGTGCATATGCTTTCTCCAGAGAACTTTGCTAACTGGTGGTTGGTTTCAGTGTTAGGTCTCTCTTTATTTGATGTCAGACTTTCAAGGACACTGAATAATTATGAATAAACAGGTCTTGAGAGTGAAGCATTTGAAAAATTGAGAAACATATAAATTTGAACATTTCTTTTTTTAACATTTTAAAAAAATTTTTAAATAGCTTGTTTTACATGTCAATCCCAGTTCCCTCTCCCTCCCCTCCTCCCGCACCCCCCACCATCCCCCCCCATTCCTCCCACCCTATTGCCAATTCCTTCCGTATAGGGGATATCTAGAGTCTGTCATTTCATTCAGGGTAGGGTCCAGGCACTTCCCTAAGAGTCCAGGCAGAGAGAGCAACCCTCTTTGTGTTATGGACACACGATGTCTGTTAGTATTCGAGGGATAAACATTTCAATATTGAAGCAAGATCTTTCCCCCATGCTTTAATTTGTCATATTATAACTATCTGTAGGAGCCCACTTGTGAGTGCAAGCACTTCTGAGACAAAAGTTGGAGGTGGCAGTGACTTTAGGCAGACCAATGCCACCTGCGTAGCCACGACTTAGGTGTTGTTCTGTGTTCTTCCACAACCACATGACTAGAGAAATTAACTTTCCCTCTCCGGGACTATTTTCAAACATTGTGTATAGTTGGAATGAATAGATTATTAAGTGCAAATTACATAGGGTATAGCATGAATAATAAAAACCTAGAGACTGATATTGGGGTTCAAGCTGAAGATCAGAAAAGCAAAGCAGCCAACCACTAGAGAGTTCTTACCTCTGCCAAGGCTGGGGTGATCTTATTCTCAGTGTGACTGCAGACTGTATATAGACTGAGACCCTTAGTTCCTGTCTTAGATTCCTCTCTAGTGCTTGGATTAAGGTATACACCACCACCACCACCCAGCTTCTATGGCTAACAAGTGTGGTGGTGGGATTAGAGGTGAGTACCAGCACTACATGGCTTCTATTGCTGTGGCTAGCTTTGCATTCTGATCTTCGGGCAAGCCTTATTACATCATAAACAAATTATCACCACAAAGGGTCTTGCTGAAAGAAAACCCTTCTCTTTTTAGCTGTGCCTCAGAAACAAAGGCTCAAAAGGTACCAGGCAGTGCCTGCAAATCCGAATTTTATCAAGTCCCTGGTTGAATCTGATGCATGGAGAAATTTGGGAGAAAAAAAAACCAGATGCTCACAAATATCATAAAATGCCTTTTCTAACTAATAGGGAGTGTCAGTAAAAGTAACTGTAAGTGGGAAAAGATACATTTTTATATAACATTGTGTATTTTTTGTTTTTAAACAATATAATACAAAAGTACAGGGAGGAAAGAAAGCAAGCACTTTTACATGTTTGTGACTTGCATAAATAAAGAATATGTGTACGTATGCTTCTTGTCAATTTTTTTCATTTTTAGAAGTTTATGTGTATGCTTGTATGTCTGCACCATGTGGTGTGTGCAGTGCCCTCGGAGGGCAGAGGAAGGCGTCGTGTCCCCCAGGAACTGGAGTTACATATGGTTGTGAGCTGCCATTGGATGGTGGAAATGGAACCTGGGTCCTCTGGAAAAGCAGCCAGTGCTCTTAACTGCTGAGCCGTCTCTAGTCCCCTGCCCCATATGCTTGGTTTTTTTACATTTATCTATTTGCAAGAATATGAATCATATTGGTCTATGCAACACCTTTTGCTTTTAAAAATATTTTCTCAGCAGCTGCTAAGTTCCCTAGGACCCATATCTGATTCTCTCCTCTGCACAGCCAAGCATTTAGTTTAGTAAATAAACACCCTTTATTTACAGGCCCACTATCGACAGGTACTTGATGGCTTTTAGGGTTTTGACATTACAAAGATGTACTACAATAATTTTAGATGGTATTAATAAAACAAATAAAACATCTAGACTACAGTGTGCATCCTTTTTCAGATGCCTGCCTGTGTTTTTATCAGTGTACTTATGGAGTTACTTCTGAGCGGTCAGGTTTGCAAACAAGGTGTGGACTTGGCGTTCCGTAAAGAGAGAGACCTTGGTCTATCATCTTAACTACTGCAGATGAGAACGCATCCGTTCGCTGATCCCGTCAGCTGCATCAAAATGTACTAAATTCTTTTGGTCAAGAAAAACCTTGCATTTTTTCCTTTCAAAAGCAGTTCTCAGTTTGACCCTGCTGATTCTGAAAGGGCTTAAAAGTTTTGTCCTTTCACGACTTCCTCTGGAGACATTTTATCTGTCTGTGGCTCCTTTTGTCTCAGCCCAGTCCTATTCAGGTACGTTCCTCTTGCGTTCCTACCAGATGCTCCAAGTCCTTGGGCCTGGGTAAGATTATCTATGCTTCCTCCGGGTCACCTTGGGTGCAGGTCAGAAGCCCGACTGTTCGTGGACAGGGAGGACTGTGGAACTGATGAAACCAAGCTGTGGCACTTGAGGTATTGCCCCCGCCCCCCCTCCTTGCAGGGATCTTTCTTTTATTGGAGCAGGTGATCGAGCAAGGTCACAGTAAAAGCCTTCCTGAGCCGGCTCCTACAGCCTTCAGTGGCTCCTAATCCGGCTGGGCTCTTACCGCTCGCTCTCTGGGCACACTGGCCTTGAGAAGCTGGCTGGGTGGCTCTGCCCCTTACTGGCAGAGGGTGGCCGGAAGGCCGAGGGGCCTTGTTGACTCTCTCACTGGGCAGTGAGTGCTTAGTGACAAACAGTAAACAGAGACAGCCTCGCCTGGGCTGAGGCTGCTCCTTCAGGAGAGAGAGAGTGCTAGCCCATCGTACCTGTGTACTGCTGGAAGTTCTTCTCAGGTGAAGGCCTAGACCGATTTGCAGACATCTGGATGCAGCCATTGGCAAAGGACACCTCAGGTACTGCTGGGCGTGGCTCTTTTTTCTCCTGTAAATCTGAATCAGGGAAAGTGAGAATCTATGGCAGAGGAGGCTGGGGGAATTAGGATGATACATTTGGGCCCCGTCCTGCATTAGTGATTCTGGGGCCATTATTTCCTCCACGCCTCTGCTAGGGCCTGATAATATGGTGTTCGTTTTCTAAGCAGAAATAGCCTCAGAAGAGAAGACACCAACTAGAGTCAGGCTCTTCCTTTTCTGAATTACTTGCTGCTTGGCTTCTGTGCGAATTGAAACAATGTCTTAAAATTCCCAAAACTCAGTTTAAACATCTGCAAACTGGGGACAACAGTCATATTACAGCATTTAGAGTCATTGTGCTTTCCCAGGAAACAATGACATTTCTGTTCTCCAGAAATGAGTGTTTGGGTTATTGCTTGTGAATTTTGGTTGGCAGGAGCCAGAAGAGTAGAGCTGAATGACAACTTGCAGTGCTACTACAACCCATTTAATCAGAGGTTTCTTTACCACTTTTTGGGTGATGGATGTTTTTACTTTTTTAATTAATTTATTTTTTGCGTTCCAATTCTAGTTCCCCCTCCCTCCTCTCCACCCACTCTCTCCTCCCCACTCCTCCCATCTGCTACAGAGAGGGTAAGGCCTCCCCTAGGAAGTCTACTAGGTCTACTAGTTGAGGCAGGACTAAGGCAACTCTCTACCCCCATACCCCTATGCCTAGGTGAAAGGTATCTCTCCATATAGAATAGGCTTCACTAAGTCAGTTTGTGCATTAGAGTTAGATCTGGGATCCACACTGCCAGTGGCCTCATATATCGCCCCAGTCACACCATTGTCACTTATATTAAGGAGTCTAGCTCAGTGTTATGCAGGTTCCCCATTTGTCAGAGCTGAGTCGGTGATCTCTCACTAGGTTGGGTCAGCTGATTCTGTGGGTTTCCCCATCATGGTCCTGACTCCTTTGTTCATATTATTGGCTTCTCGCTTACTTTGATTGTACTCCAGGAGCTTGGCCCATTGGTTAATTGTAGATTTCTGCATCTGCTTCCATCTGTTTCTGGAAGAGGGTTCAAGCTTCTCTGAGGTTATGGATTGTAGGCTGGGTATCTTTTGCTTTATGTCTGGTATCCACTATTGAGTGAGTACATATGATATTTGTCTTTCTGGTTTTGGGTTACCTCACTTAGGATGTTTTTTCCTAGTTCTGTCCATTTACCTGTGAACGTTAGGCTGTCATTGTTTTTTAACCGTTGAGTAGTACTCCGTTGTGTAAATAAACCACATTTTTTTATCCATTCTTCAGTTGAGGAACATCTAGGTTGTTTCCAAGATCTGGCTATTACAAACAATGTCGCTATGAACATAGTTGAACAAATGTCCTTGTGGGTGAATGTGCCTCCTTTGGGTGTATGCCCAACAGTGGTATTGCAGGGTCTTGAGGTAGGCTGATTCCTAATTTTCTGAGAAATCAACATACTGATTTCCACAGTGGCTGTACAAGTTTGCATTCCCACCCACAATGGATGAGTGTTCCCCTTTATCCACATCCTCTCCAGCATAAGCTATCATTGCTGTTTTTTATCTTAGCCGTTCTGATTAGTGTAAGATGGAATCTCAGAGTGGTTTTGATTTGTGTAATGGATGTTTTTTAATTTTTTATTTAATTTAAATTAGAAACAAGTTTGCTTCACATGTCAGTCCCAGCTCCCTCTCCCTCCCCTCCTCTCCCACCCCCTGCAACCCTCCTCCAGTCCCCATTCCACTCTCCAAGGAGGGTGAGGCCCATCATGGGGATCTCGAAAGTCTGTCATATGATCAGGGGCAGGGCCTAGGCCCTCCCCCATGTGTCCAGGCAAAGACAGCATCCCTCCATGTGGAATAGGCTCCCAAAGTCCATCTGGATGACAGAGCTAAGTGCTGATGTATTGCCTGAGGCCCCAAAGGATGTTGAGGCCTCCTCACTGACACCCACATTCAAGGGGTCTGGATCAGTCCCATGCTGGTCTCTCAGTTATCAGTCTGGGGTCTATAAGCTTCCCCTTGTTCAGGTCAGCTGCCTCTGTGGGTTTCACACACCAAGTCATGACCCCTTTGCTCATCACTCCTCCCTCTCTGCAGCTGGGTTTCAGGAGTAATGGATGTTTTTAACAACCAGCTACCAAAACTCTTGGTATTTTGGGCTGGAGACATAGACGGCTCAGTTGGTTTGGCGCTTATCATGCAAGTATGAGTCCTGAGTTTGGATTCACTCCGTCAACATAAGACGCCAAGCATGGCAGGCAGCATGTGCCTACACTCCCAGCTAGAGGTAGGCACAAGCAGTTAGATCCCTAAGGCTTGCTGGTTGGCCAGACTGGCTGAATCAGCCATCTCCAGGTTCAGTGAGAGACTCTGTGCGAGACGAAAAGATGGAGAGCAGTAGACATCCGACACTGGCCTTTAACCTCTACATGCATGCATACACAAGTGTGTGAGTGCACACAGACACGCACACACATGAATGCACACACACACACATACACACACACATGCACGCACACATGCACACAATCCTTCCTGGGGATATGATGATTGGCTTCTACTAGTTAATTGGAACCTCCTTCAGGATCCAAAGGACTTTTCCAAAGGTGGAACACAGTGATGGGGAAGTGATGAGTTGGGACAGGAATGGGATATGTAAGGAGAGACTCAGAATAACCTCTCTCTTTTTGGTCAACAATGTACCTCACTGAACAGCTGGATTATTTGAAAAGCACATGACAAAAAAAAATGATTCTGAAATTAAATGTAACCCAGGTGCTGTGACCTGAAATCCTCCTAATTAGGAAGGCAGGAGGACTGGGCATTTCAGGCAGAGTGAAAACCTCTGTCAAAACAAGCAAAGGAAACCCAACAACAATGACAAAAACAGAAAAGAAAAGAAAATTATTGAAATAGTAGAGGGAGTTGGCAGCTGTTCTCTTGAAGAGAACTGATTGACATTCCCCCAATCAGCGAATCCCTGGTAGGGGTAGGGAGAGGAGAGCTGAGAGCATCTCTCTGAATTCTCTTCATCTGGACCTCAGAGTCTGCCATACCATGCTTAGAACACATTACTTTCACGAACTGAAATGTTTGGTTTCACAGGGTTTCTCTTGGCTGATTATTCTGTATTCTTTCATTTTCACTGCTGACTTTGTCCTCCCACAAAAAAATGAAGATATTGTGTGCTGCTAAAAGGTGTAATATATGTCCAGTGCCATATGTGCAAAGTGGTTCAGACCTTCCTGGAGAGTCTAGGGCACTCCCTTGCCCTTTCTGCTCCTCCCCCCATCAGCTGTCCGCCTTCACCTATGGTTGCAGGAGCTGCAGAGTGGTTTGGTAGGCTAGCAGAGTATGGGCAGGCTCACAGTCTGCACGGGAGCATGTGTGAAGCAGCTTTGACGACGTCTCCTCCCCTCCCAGGTCTCTTTAGACTCTGACCCTTTCGGCCACTCTCTCACCACAGAGTCTCTTTTCCTTCAGATCCATTCTAAGTCCACTGGCGATTAGAAAGCTTGACTTGACTTCAGTCGGAAGTTCCGTGTCTGATGAATCCTGTAAATTTCCCCCTTCTGACCTAAGAAAGCCGTTTCCCAGGTTCTACAGACCACTGACTAGTCCTGGTTGTGACTCACCTCGAATACAGTACAGCCATCCGACCTCCAAATTACAACTGGCTGCAGCTGGTTCTTCCTGGCTGGGACTGGTTTGTTCCAGCACACCACAGGGACTCAGAGAAGTGCTGTCCTCAACTCTTAGTATGCAGACGAATCGCCACATGGTTATGATGCTGGTTCTGACCAGGAGGGCTGGGACACCCAGCATCTGCATTTCTAACAAACATCAGCAGGTGCCACTGCGGCTGCTCTGAGTTGAAGAGTTAAGGACATGCAGCATGTAGGTCCCAGGGCCATCTACAGCCTTCTCTCAGGAAGCCTATCTCTGTTCTCAAGCCATGGTTTCGCAAGTTTATACCTGTGTTGTTTTCTGTGCTCACCCATGCCCAGTGTGAATAGATGGCATTTGCTGAGAAATTAGCATACACCTGACATGGTGATTTACCGTGCAAAGAGAATACATAGGTCTTCTGAATCGAGGCAGGAGCCATTCCATGCTGACCCCACAGCTTATCTACTCAGCCATCGCCAGTTCCTTGTGGGTGACCCTGCCTCCCAATTGCTCTGGCATAACGAACGGCTCTCCTCTGTGGATGCCTTCTCTGGGGACTGTCTGGAAACTTGGTCTTCATTTTGCTCTTGGTTGTTTCCAGCTCTGTTGTGAATTGTCTGCCCGGTTCTTCTTGCCTTGGCCATAGATCTCTTTGTTCTTGTATCTCCAGGAGGTAAAGTGGTTGTGTTTGCCCAGGGTTGATGGAAGCAGTGCAGTTGGTGAAGGAAAGTGAGTAAGAGATGCCAGAAGAAGGAGGAAGTACTTAGAGAGGGGTGGAAAGGACTAGTCCTGGTAGTCTAGTACTGGCTAAATGGCAAGATTTCAAGATTCGGCTGCCTGAACTTACTTTCCCACAGACAATGTGGTGTAAAATAGTGTCTGGGCATTTCAAAAAGTATCATCTAAGCACGCTCTCTTTCCTTCCCTTTTCTATTTCTCCTCCTCCTCTGGCGTTTTGATGCAGTCTTGTTAAGTAGCCTAGGTTTGCCTGGGACTGGAGGTTCTTCTGCCTCAGCCTCCTGTCAAGCACTTGAATTACGGGAGTGAGCCACAGCGTCAGTCTTCACTTATTTCTGGATGAAATACATCCGTAGACTAGAAACAGAGCTCAGCATCCTCAGCAACTCACCCAAGGTAGCAAGGACAGGAAAGAAGACGCATGTGGTGTGCCTGAAGACAGAAAAGGCAGGGGTGACAAGGAGGCAGTGGCTGCTGGAAGGGTGGACACGAGGGTCCTAAGCCTCTTTCAGAAATGTTGACCTGAACAGATGCTGTAGAGAACAGAAAGCACCCGAAGGCTTTAACACAGAGGG